GAAAGGGTTGGTGCAGGTGCGATGTGTCCAGGAAGGTGTGGGGTAAAGGTGCGGTGTGTCCAGGAAGGTGTGGTGAAGGTGGGGAGTGTCCAGGAAGGTGTGGTGAAGGTGGGGAGTGTCCGGGAAGGTGTGGTGAAGGTGGGGAGTGTCCGGGAAGGTGTGGTGAAGGTGGGGAGTGTCCGGGAAGGTGTGGTGAAGGTGGGGAGTGTCCAGGAAGGTGTGGTGAAGGTGGGGAGTGTCCAGGAAGGTGTGGTGAAGGTGGGGAGTGTCCAGGAAGGTGTGGTGAAGGTGGGGAGAGTCCAGGAAGCGGTTGTGAAGGCATGAGGTGGGGGGGGGGGAAGGTGTGGTGTGTCCAGGATGGTGTGGTTTGTCCAGGAAGGTGTGGTGTGTCCAAGAAAGTGTGGGTAAGGTATGGTGTATCCAGGAAGGTGTGGGAAAGGTATGGTGTGTCCAGGAAGGTGTGGGGAAGGTTTAGTATGGTCATTAAGGTGTGGTGAAGGTGCAGTGTGTCTGAACATCTAGAAACTGCCAATGTGGGAATAAGAGCACATTTTATGTTGAATCAAAATGACGTTGTTGGCTTTTCTTTCCTCAGAAAAGCTTCTTGTCCTCCAGCTTCTTGGCCACCTCCGTTGTTGTCTTCTCTGACTTATGTGTGGGGGTGTGACCTAGGTTCACAACTTCCTGGTACACCTAACACCTTGTCCACTCACTGGACAGGTAATCTCTTATAGGTTTCACAAACTTCTAGACATATTTGCTTGACATGACACGGCTGGGAATACATTAGAGGTAGACACCACAGTTGCCCAATTCTCTTCTAATGCTTTTTTTCTATCACCAGTAACTGGCCTCTTCTTGGTAGAAGCAAGTAGAATTTGCCTTTTCAACATGTGAAGGACAACGACACTTACACCTCCCACTCACATCCCAACAAACACAAAACGCTTTTTGGCGTTTTTATTTAGTCTCAGAAAGGTGACATGTTAACTATTTATATAAAATCGTCTATTTAACGTTTAAATTGTAATCATTTAAATGTGTGAATGTGTGTACTCACCTAGTCGTGCTTGCAGGGAGCTCTGGCTCCTTGGTCCCGCCTCTCAACTGTCAATCAACTGATGTACTTATTCCTGAGCCTACTGGGCTCTATCATATCTACATTTGAAATTGTGTATGGAGTCAGCCTCCACTACATCATTGCCTAATGCATTCCACCTGTTAAATACTCTGACATTGAACAAAAAATTTCTAACGTCCCTGTGGCTCATTTGGGTACTCAGTTTCCACCTTACATATTCATTCCAGGTACTCTGGTATCTTTGTCTGCTCTCAAGTTTCCCGTTATTTCTATAATTCCTCCATGCCCTTTTACTTTTCTGCTTAGCTAGCCTACATCTCTGATTAAACCATGGGTTTCTCATCTTCATTTCATTGTTTTCCTTCTGGACCAGGACAAACTTGTCTGCTGCCTCCTTGTAAGGAGGCAGCAGACAACATCACACACTTCTACATTACGCACTTCTGCGTGATGTAGTCCATCATGTCTTGGGCCATCTTTCCCCCCCTGAGCACTCTTTCCCCATGTTATATCTGTTAGGAATTTTCTTATCTCTGCATAGTTCCCTTTCAGAATGCCAGCCATTTGTTTTCAGTACCCCTCCTTGATTCCATTAACTCTTCTTCAACCCGATACTCAAACGTCATCACACTGTGGTCGTTCATTCCTACTGGGACCTGTGTGTGTGTGTGTTGTGTGTGTGTGTGTGTGTGTGTTGTGTGTGTGTTGTGTGTGTGTGTGTGTGTGTTGTGTGTGGAGTGATTACTAGGTCGATTACTGGTTCATCATTGCCTCTGATTCTCGTGGGACCCTTGACACGCTGACTTAAAATGTTTCTTGTCGCGATCGCCAATACTTTCGCTCTCGATGTTTCCTCACCTCCATGTGCTTCCTTGTTTTCCCAGTCTATCGTTCTGTAATTAAAGTCCCCTGTGATGAGCAGATGGGATTGATTTCTACAGGCACCACGGCTGTTCTCTCAGATATAGTGATAACTGCCATGTTGTTTATGTCATACTCTTGCCTGGGACTTCTTACATTTGGTGGAGGGTTATATATCACTGCTACTACTACTCCTTGTCCTCCCATTTTCATGGTGCTTGTTATAAAGTTTCTGGACCCTTCACAGCCAGGTATAAACATCTCCTCGAAACTCCATTCCTTTCTCACCTGTAGAGCCACTCTGCCGCCTCTCTCTTTCCTTCCCTCTCTTTCCTTATTACAGAGTAGTCCTGGAGAATCACCGCATTCGTTTTAATTCCTGAGAGTTTTGTTTCTGTGAGTCCAACTACATCTTAGTATACTTATTTTACTCTTTCACTAGGTTCATTTGCCTTACTTGTAAACACACACACACACACACACACACACACACACACACACACACACACACACACACACACACACACACACACACATGTGTGTGTGTGTGTGTGTACTTACCTAGTTGTGCTTGCGGGTGTTGAGCTCTGGCTCTTTGGTCCCATCTCTCAACTGTCAATCAACTAATGTACAGGTTTCTGAGCCTAATGGGCTCTATCATATCTACACTTGAAGCTGTGTATGGAGTCAGCCTCCACCACATCACTTCCTAATGCATTCCATTTGTCTACTACTCTGACACTGAAAAAATCTTTCTAACGTCTCTATGGCTCCTTTGGGCACTCAATTTCCACCTGTGTCCCCTAGTGCATGTGCCCTTTGTGGTAAATAGCCTGTCTTTATTTACCCTATCAATTCCTCTGAGAATCTTGTATGTGGTGATCATGTCCCCTCTAACTCTTCTGTCTCCCGGTGACGTGAGGTTTAATTCCCGTAATCTCTCCTTGTAGCTCATATCCCTCAGTTCTGGTACTAGTCTGGTTTCAAACCTTTGAACCTTTTCCAGTTTAGCCATATGCATGACTAGATATGGACTCCATGCTGGAGCTGCATACTCCAGGATTGGTCTGACATATGTGGTATACAAAGTTCTGAAAGATTTCTTACATCGATTTCTAAAGGCCGTTCTTATGTTAGCCAACCTGGCATATGCCGCTGATGTTATCCTCTTGATATGAGCGTCAGGGAACAGATCTGGTGTGATATCAACCCCCAGGTCTTTCTCTCTCTCAGACTCTTAAAGGATTTCATTTCCCAAATGATACCTTGTATCTGGTGTCCTGCTCCCTACACCTATCTTCATTACATTATATTTTCTTAGGTTAAACTCTAACAACCATTAATTCGCCCATTCCTGCAGCTTGTTCAGGTCTTCTTGAAGCCTCAAGTTGTCCTCCTGTCTTAATCCTTTTCATAATTTTGGCGCCGTCAGCAAATATTGAGAGGAATGAGTCTATACCCTCTGGGAGATCATTGACGTATATGAAACAGGATTTGTACGAGTACAGAGCACTATGGGACTCCAATGGTGACTTCACGCCAATCTGAGGTCTCATCTCTCACTGTAACTCTCTGCTTTCTATCGCTTAGGTGTTCCCTTATCCACTGGAGCGCCCTACCAGTTACTCCTGCCTGTTTCTCCAGTTTTATGGGGTACTGTGTCAAAGGCTTTCCGGCAATCCAAAAAAATGCAGTCCACCCATCCTTCTCTTTCTTGCTTAATCTTTGTCACCTGATCGTAGAACTCTATTAAGCTTGTAAGGCAAGATTTACCTATGAACCTATGTTCATGGGTTGTCACGAAGTCCCTTCTCTCCAGATGTGTTACTTGGTATTTTCTCACGATCTTCTCCATCACCTTGCATGGTATAAAAGTTAAGGACACTGGCCTGTAGTTCAGTGCCTCTTGTCTGTCACCCTGTTTGTATATTGGGACTACATTAGCAGTGTTCCATATTTCTGGTAGGTCTCCCGTTTCCAGTGACCTACTATACACTATGTAGAGTGGCAAGCAAAGCGCAAGCACACTTTTTCAATACCCATGATGAGATTCCATCCGGGCCAACAGCCTTTCTCACGTCTAGATCCAATAGGTGCCTCTTAACCTCATCTCTAGTAATTTCGATTCCTTCCAAGGTCGCCTGGTTTACTACCACCTCTCCTAGTGCAGTGACCTCTCCTCGTTCTATTGTGAAGACCTCCTGGATCCTCTTGTTGAGTTCCTCACACTCCTCTTTGTCATTCTCTGTGTACCTGTCCTCACCCGTTCTAAGTTTCATCACCTGTTCCTTCACTGTTGTTTTCCTTCTGATGTGACTGTGTTGTAGCTTTGGTTCGGTTTTGGCTTTATTAGCTATATCATTTTCATACTTTTTCTCAGCTTCTCTTCTCACACTAACGTACTCGTTCTTGGTTCTCTGGTATCTCTCTCTACTGTCTGGTGTTCTGTTATTTCGGAAGTTCCTTCACGCCCTTTTGTTCAGTTCCTTTGCTTTCACACATGGCCTATTAGTTCATGGATTCTTCTTTTGCTTCTCGTTTTTTCCTGTCGGGCTGGGATAAACCTGTTTACTGCCTCCTGACACTTTTGGGTGGCATAGTCCACACACACACACACGTGTGTGTGTACTCACCTAATTGTATTCACCTGTGTGTGTGTGTGTGTGTGTGTGTGTGTGTGTGTGTGTGTGTGTGTGTGTGTGTGTGTGTGTGTGTGTGTGTGTGTGTGTGTGTGTGTGTGTGTGTGTTTGTGTGTACTCACCTCTTTGTGCTTGCGGGAGTTGAGCTCAGGCTCTTTGGTAGCCTGAGCTCAACATATTTCCAAGTTGAGTAAAAGCTTTCCCACATTCTGGACACTCGTGAAGTTTAATACCTGCATGCAGCAGTCTGTGAACCTTCATATTTCCATACTGAGCTCTGAGCATACTGGGCTCTATCATATCTACACTTGAAACTGTGTATGGAGTCAGCCTTCACCACATCACTTCCTAATGCATTACATTTGTCAACCACTCTGACACTAAAAAAGTTCTTTGCAATATCTCCGAGGCTTATTTGGCTACTCAGTTTCCACTAATCTTTCAGCGACATGAGGTTTTTGTTCTCGTAGTATGTCCTGTAGTGAATTACATTCATTAGGAATTCACTTTCTAATTCATTCCGGTAAGTTTATCCCGTCCTTATGTCCTCGTAGCTCATACCTCTCAGCTCCGGTACTAGTCTGGTGGCAAACCTTTGAACCTTTTTCAATTTAGTCTTATCCTTGACTAGATATGGACTCCATGCTGGGGCTGCATACTCCAGGATTGGCCTGACATGTGGTATGCAAAGTTTTGAATCATTCCTTACACAAGTTTCTAAATGCCGTTCTTATTTTGCCCATCCTGGCATATGCCGCTGATGTTATCCTCTTGATATGGGCTGTAGGGGTCTGGTCTGGCATGAAATCAACCCCCCAGGTCTTTTTCTCTCTCTGACTCTTGAAGTAGGCTCTGGTAGGCCTCCAGTATCATCTCCCAAATGATACCTTGTATCTGGCCTCCTGCTCCCTACACCTATCTTCATTACATTCCATTTGCTTGGGT